CGAGTTTGGCAAGCATAACCGCAGCTGTGAGCTCTAGCCTTGGGATTGTCAGCCGTTTGAGAGGAGCTACTTTCGTTTTCGCGCAGACCAAAGAAATCCGAGGCTCTTCATCTCCATTAAAGACTTTGAGATAGACTACGGCTGACATCGCGAGAACAGAAGCATCTGAGAATCCATGAATTTCAGTCGACGAATTCTGGAGAAGGCCTAATCATCTTGGAACAGATAACTTCGAGAGCAGAGTGAGATCATTCCGAAAACTTTTCCAACGCTGGGCAACTTGTTCTGGGACTTCCTCATCCCAACCAAGCTTTCGAATCCAAGTCTCCTGCATGAGTAGTTTCTCTCTGATCACGACAGGAGATAGAAATCCGAGCGGGTCGTAGATCTGAACGATCTCTGAGAAGATATTCCTCTTAGAAACTTTTGATTCATCGCTGGTCCGACTTGAGAAGATGAAGTTAGCCGAGCTGGGCTGCCACGACAAGCCAAGAATCCGCGTCTCCGAATCCTCATAAACTCGCTGGTCATTGGAGGCACTATCAGGAGCGAGCCACTGGAGTAACGCTGGACTATTACTATGCCATTTTGCCAGAGGCATTCCTCCAGCAGCGCAGAGATCACGAACTTCTTGCGCGGTCCTGACGAGTTGGTCATGCGTGTCCACACCTCCACAGATGTCGTCAACGTATCTTCCTTTCACGATGGGCGAGACGGCCAAAGGGAACCGATGTCCTTCATCCTCAGCCAGCTGAGGAAGGACACGGTTTGCGAGAAACGGAGCTGATCTCGTGCTGTATGTGACTGTTGTCAGTTGATACGTGACTAGTTCTCCACTTGAGTTGGTCCATAGAATCTGCTGCAGGGGCCAGTCATCCTCGTGAACTCTATTCTGGCGGAACATCTTGGTGATGCCCGTCATGAAGATGACTTTGTGCTGTCTTGACCAGAGCAGGACGTCCGAGATATCCCCCTGCAACTTGGCTCCTGTGTGGAGAATGTCGTTGAGTCAGTTCCCTCAGCTGGTCTTCGCTGATCCGTTGAACACTACTCTCAGTTTCGTCGTTGCACTGCTCTCTCTGACCATACCATGATGAGGTAGATAGTAACTCCTGTGAGCGTCAGACGGCCCTACCTGAAGCCCTTCAGAGACCCTCAACCCTCCTGAAGCTTGCGCTTCATTGTGCTAAGGTCGTCTCGTCAGAACGACAAGCGGAATCCGACTGAACCGAAGACGGAGAGCGATGAGTCGAGCGAGTTACTAATCTCATATGGTCGAGATCTTCATATTCCTTGAGAAAGTCAGAGTACAGCTGGAGAAAGCGCGCATCTTTTGAGATTCCAGCGAGCATCCGATGGAGACAGGCTAGCGCTGGACGATAGGAATTCCCTAATGACGAAACTGGAGCTGAGGAGGGCAAACGAACGACATATCGATCTGAGCTATCCTTTGAGTGAGTCTGACGGAAGTGGTGTTCACACTCCAATTCTTCTGTTGAGAGATTCGCGTCAGTGCGCCCAGGAACTTCCTCGTGAACCCAAAACTTCGTGAGAAGGTCGTTGAGCTCGTCGTTCGATACGCTGAGGTGATGAGAAGAGCAAGATGTTGGTTGATCAGGTCCCGTTGGTCCGTAAACAATCCAGCCAAAGCTGGTGAGTTGAGCGACTGGAGCCTGAACCCCTCCTCTAATCACGTTGGGCTTGATGACCTGACCAAAAACATCAGTACCGACGAGAAGGTCAATTGGTGCAGAGACTCGGAAATGTGGATCAGCAAGCTCTAAACCCTCGATATGATCCCACTTGAGACCCTCTGCTGAGAAGGACGGTAGCGTTGAGGTGAGACGATCAAGAGAGTGAGCTGTAACTTCGACGCGTTCTTCTGAGTGGATCGATTTTAACGTGAGATGTACTTCGCCGGACGTTGTCCCAAGTGATGATCCTCCCACTCCTGTTATGTGGACGGAACTACGAGTTTTCTTTAAATTTAACTTCCGAACTAGTTTATCTGAGATGAGCGAGAGTTCGGAGCCTGAATCCAACAAAAGTCGAACTTGATGCAGAGGGCAATAATCGCTCACGAGAAGAGCTAAACAAGTTGCGAGAAGGACCCCAGGCCGAGAGGTTTGCGCAGAACAACTATCGGCCGAACAAGAAATCGACGCTTGGGACGGTCCGCTTCAGGCCTCTGGATGAGCTGAAGACGTAGCCTGAGTAGCATCACATGTGTGAGTATACGTCATGACAGGCACGCTGGTCAATGGAGCAGAAGCACTTGAGCGCTGAGCTCCTGCATCGTTGAGAGGGACTTGAGATGCTGGACCACGTTGAGCTGGACGACGAGAACGACCGAAATGCAGCAGGGTATGGTGCCTCTCCTGGCATTGGAAGCACTTACAAGTGGTCTGGCAGACCCTGATGCTGTGCTTCCCCAAATAGTTGAAGCACAGATAGAGACGATCCACGACTTCCTTTCGACCAGCTGGCGAAAGATTCTTGAAATGACTGCAAGAGGCGATGTAGTGCTCCCCCTTGCAGTAAGAACAGGGATACTTGCCCGTCTCAGCCCATGATTGAGTTGGAGTGGATTGTAGCTTGCGCGCTGGACCTTGAGGCTGCTGAGGCGACGGGTAAGCTGGCCGATTGGAAGTCATTGCGTTGACTTTGCCGCTGGACTTCGACGCAGGGCGAGATTGCACGCCGGGCTGTGAAGATTTCGTCGAGCTTGCATTGTGGGAACTGGACCCAACTTCTAAAGTCTCCATTGCCCTGGAGCGATCTTGTAGAAATTCGGCGAGCTGTTCCAGAGAAGGATACTCCGATGAGGCCCCGATTTTATTCTCCCACGCTTCTCAAAGCTTATTAGATAGTCGATGGACATGGACAACCACTGGACCCCACTGATCAGTAGGTTGCCCCAGAGCTTTGAGTGCGCTAAGTGCTTCAGAGACTGAGCTGGTCAACAGATTGAGCTCCGTGGCGCTGTGGGACGACATCAAAGGCGGATGCAGAAGCTGGTCTAAATGAGCTGAAACTAACAAGCATTCGTTCTCGTAGCGGTTCGTGAGGATTCCCCAAGCTATCGAGAAAGATTCCTCCGAGACGGGCAAATTAGAAATCAGCTTGAGTGGTTCGCCAGAAAGAGAGAGACGAACGTAGTGCATGCGCTCAACTCCCGGAATGTCAGGGTTATTCCCGACCAAATAGTGGAATAAATCGCGCCAAGCCCTCCACTCCCTATAAACTCCAGAGAACTTAGGCAGTTCGATCTCTGGAAGCCCCCTACGTCTCGAGCTGGACGAGTGACCTTCAGTCTCACCTCCGCGCATGGTCTGATTGAGGTTAGGAGCCCCCTTATTCTCCATCAATTGCGTGATTGCGGTCTTGGCTGTCGCGTATCTCGTCAGCGCTTGGTCAAAAACTTGATTTTTGAAATAAGAGAGCTCCAATAAACCCTCCATCTTCGAACCACTCGCTACGAGCTTCTCGTGAGTGGACTCAAGCTTGTCCCAATATTTCTCGAGCAGCACCAACTTGGACTCCAATGCAGCAAGTCCAAGCTGCATTGCGCTATCCCCCTTCGCATCGTTACACGTTTCCTCGATAAAAGCCACTCGAGTCATTTGAAGCGTGATAGTAACTTCTAGAGTCGACATATTGAATGCGACAATATGCGTTAACCAAAGAAAAAACCGATAAGGCAGGTCGCAATCCGAAATTAAAAATGGGTTTTATTCTTCTAGAAAGAGCCGTTTAAAAACACGGAAATCGTAAGCGCAGGTCCGATGATCCAAAAAAAAGAAGTGCTCAAAAAAGATAATCAAATTCTGAAAATAATTCCGAAGAATTTCGAGTATCCAAAAAAAACAAAAAATCAAATAGAATAAATCGCCGACGCAGGTCCAAATGGTTCCAGGCACGAGAAATCCAAAGAGAAATCAATAAAGGAGAAATAGCAATGCAAACTTGCCTTTAGACAGCGCTGGTCAGTTTAAATTTGCCGCCTGGTCGGTATCGCAGGTCCCTGAAGCGATGTGAGAAGAAGTGGTTGAGCACCCTTTGCGTCCACCAGATTCGAATTCCTGGAGCCGAGCGATGAGCACCACTGCTGAACGCTGTCCGTTTTTCACTCCCGTTTTAATCACTCAAAAAACCCGAAAAACCGAAAAATATTCCACAGATCCGGCTCGAAGGACAAAAATGTTCGAGGCTGGGTCTGAGATCTGTGGAAATTATGAGCGATGGGCGAGATAAAAACGGATTCTAACGGGAGCGGGAGGTCCACAAATCACTACACGTGCACGTTGGTCACAAAAGTCAATTTCATTATTAAATAAAGTCAATTATTTACACGTGTTAGCTTTAGCGTGATTACCGAGATGGTCAAAACAAATGCGCGGGTCACAAAACTATTAAATAAACGCAGTTTACAGAATTTAGGTAGCGAAGGGCAATTAGTTCTAAGAACTTGAGCAAAATAGCGACTTCGCGGAAAAGTGATATACACTGCACGATGGCCGATATGCCAATGAGGCCGATTGAAAAACCGGAAGGTGGCAGGTGTCGATCATCGTGGGTCCAAACGTGCCCCAATTTAAATGAGAGCGTTCGCTGGACATCTGTCCATCAAGTGGCGCCTCAGGTGTCGAAGGTGAAAGGCCACTGGTCAGTTCAGTCGGTTCCGTAGGTCAGTTAGGAGAACCCATGCAAGCATGCGAGAGGAGCGAGTGTGAGTGTGTGAGGAAAACAATTCGGTGGAAAACCGAACAGACACCGTCCCGAGGAATTCCTAACGTTAAGCAACAAAACATTGTTACTTATTGAGACAATGAAAAATTCTCATGAATATCCAATCCTTAACGATGTTATCAGAAAATTCAGAGTGGACAGTTTATGGTTGTGAGAAAAGAATTTAAGGAGCTAGGTTGATACTTCGACTAGATAAAAATTAGTGCATCAATCCGTGAAATATTTCATTCAATACTGTTTTATTTTTAAAGCAATTCTTGACGATCTACAAGGTTCAATGCAGATAGCAGGTGTCATATCCGGTAAACCAGGCAGCAATGGCATTTACGTGCCGACAATCTATTCAAAAAATCAAAGTGAATGGGTCCATAATTTCTACAAACAGAATGGCTATCTTGGTAAGGAAAAAATCTTGTGAACTTTGAAATTCAATTCTGCTTTGAGTTCAGTTTTCATAAAATATCTCACAACTCGAAGGAGAAAACTTGCATAGATAATAACGCATCTTCATAATTTTTCTGTAATTGTCGTGTATCGAGTTCATATGAAAATCCTGCCATCTCCCCTAAACTTTGCATTTCAAGGTATTTTGTCTTAAAATGATCTCCGAGCGGAATTCGTTTGTCATTCACATATTACTACTGAATTAATCTAACAACTAACATATAACTTCACAATTCCCAGAATACGATGCTCTGACACGTCTCGGACTTTCCGATGCTAAGAACTTCGTGAAACGCCATTTTACCCACGAGAATTTAACTCTTCTCAATACGGTCGCAGTGGGTGGCGCAATAATTGATCAGGTGGATGCCAACGTCGAAGACACTATCACCACCAACTCATTTACCGACATTTATCCTCTGCTGCCCTCAGTCTTCACCCCAGAGGACATAGAGGCACTCTTAAAGGAGTCACAAAGACGGTGTCAAATAAAATTCCATATATTTGCAACAACTGTTATCGTTTCAGAGGCATTCTTACAACTTTTGAGTAAACCCTTGGAGTTCAAAGTGGAAGCGAGAGCGAAAGAGGCCGTTGAAAGTGGTAAATGGTTGCAATACATCGCTGAGAGTAAAATTAAATCCTCGAAATCTGCAGATTTCATCAGAAACGATAAAAAAGACGAAAGGAGGAAGAAAGCATCAAGTGGAAAGGCGGGGGGTGGCAGCCAAGGTCGAGAGACTAAGACAAAATCCACAAAAAAAAAGTATATCCCTACGAAAAACCAGGATTACGAATCAGATGATGAGAGCACAACAAAAGCAAATGAAAGAACTGAGTTAATTCTTCTCACTGAGGAAGATATTAGAGAAGAATTGAATAAAGACGGGCATCTCTCTGAAATCGCTGGTCTTGTGGGCCAATTGACAGAATATTTACAATCGAAATTGAATAAACAAGCATTCGCTATGGCTGAACAGTTTGCACTAGCCACTAAGTCAAATAATTTAGGCGAAATTGAGGAAAGATTGAATATGTTGATAACAAATATTAAAATATTTGATAAGGGGATAAAGTGTATTTCGAATAGAGAGGCACAGATTCTTCTATCTAAGTATTTAATGAAGACTTTGGGAGTGGATTTTGTCACTGATATATTTAGATTAGCAGCGCAGCAGAATGTTGTGCAGTGTCCCAGTACCTTGACGACAGAAGCAAGGCAGAAGATGCTTTTGGAATTGCCAAATGACGTGAGAGAGCCCTTAAGTAACATACATAAGGCTACTGGGAAGGGATCTGTTGAAGAGTTTTTCAATGCGATTGAATCAACAATGGCTACTTGTTGTTTGGTACTAAAGAAGTATGATAAGAAAAGAGAGAAGACTGTCATCTTAGGGCATAAGCACGCATTGTTGGACCAGTTGAACTCGACTAATGATCCTGCTCTTGCCTTGCATCTAGTTACGAGCGTGTTATTCACTGCTACTACGCAATCTGCTCTCCATATGTCGGGAAGACATGTTTCTCTTGTTCTTGGCTTTCTGCAGACACAATTGGAGGCACAGACTGTGGGAAAATTGTCACGCTATCACGGTAAATTATAAATTGAATTCATCGAACTTTCCTTTGATTTTTGAAAAGCACAAAGTACAAAAAAATTGATAAATTGATATTCCGCAGATTTTCTGCGCGTTTTTTTCACTAGAAAATATTCCATAGAAACTATGTTTGTGATGATTTTTCTTTGGCCTCAATGAATACTCAAAAACCCTAACCCAAAAAAATACTCGATTATCCAAACATGGCCAAATCATTACCTTCATTCTCGCAATCCGACAAATCTGAAACGCCCAAAAAGCATAACGCTAAAACTAGACTCCAGAAACAATCAGCAGCTCATTCAATCCTTACTCCGAATGTTTAGGGCGTCAGCCCATTTTTAGCAACGCGGAATCGACGAACTGCAAACGGACCCGTATTTTCTTAAAACTAAATACTGATTGTCCCCAAAAATCCAATAACGACAAAAAACATAACGAAAACCAAACGGAGAAATGTGGATACGAGGGTAGAGGGGGAGAGAAAGGGGGGAGAGAGAGGAAGAGAGAGAGAGAGAGAAAGAGGGAGAGAGAGAGAGGGATGTTGATAAAATTCTTGACGTTTTTGAACTGAGTGTGAGCCCCATCTGAGAAGTAATTAATGTTCACTGGATTTGGATTAATTGATTTTATTAACTGAGTGAGTTTTTTGGTATTCACGTGAACTGCTACTGCATCATGGAGCATATGATCGAAAATTATAGCAAGACTTTTATGAATAACGTTCGATCTCTCCTTATCATTAATGACGATAGTATATATAGTTGCCGCGTCATTGTTCCAATGGAAACCGGGAGCGGCGTCTTGCACAGCAAATGCATAATTTTCTGCGAAATCGCAAATGACCAAAAATTCTCCATCCCCCATGATTCCCTCAACTTCTTAACGTAATTACCTTGCTCTTTTGCGATAAATGTGTGAGGCAAAAGTACAATCACCTTTTCACAAAACATCATCACTGATTTCGTCAACATCTTGTGTCACTGTTACTAGCGAGCTACGAGGCTTCGAAACCCACTGCTTACACACAATTGTGTCAATATCATTGTCTACCAGTGTGTTGTTGACGAAGGAGTTTAACGTTTCGAAACTTGGACAATGTTCTCATGTTCTTAAATAACATGCAGCAGTTGCCTCGTAACAAGTCATGAAGTCAATGCAATTACTGTAATGGTCCAATGGATGAAGTGCGTCACTTGTCAAACTTTTCAAGTTCGAACCTATACATTGAACAAATTAGATAGAGTGTAATACCTTCATGCATAATGATTCTAGCTTCATAGAAATTATTAATTGATAACAAACCAACCATCATTAGTTTGATATTTTGGTGCATTGCGCAAATACACACCGTATGTGTTCCACTTGAACCGGCAAGAACACAATGTTTCGGACGTGACATTGCTAATGATAAAAACCCAATTTTATCATTTGGATCGTGATCTTGAAAGATTTGGAATAACTTTTTCAAATTACAAAGAATTAATCGTTTTTGATGGTAGGTTTTGAAACCATCGCTAGTTTTTGTAGATACGCAATTTTTTTTCCCAGGCATAACACTGCTGAATCTGTTATCGTTGTAAAAGCCCAACACTTTACTCGTGATTTCCTCAGGTAATGTGTGCCCTACGAAATGACAGAAAAACACAAGAGAAATTTAGAGTGAAACATTAAATAACGGTCCATTGAATAAAATATCCAACCTACAAGGAACACTACGCAGGTGTCCCTCTCCGATTTCGATGAAACTTAAATATGTTATAGGGGACCCAAAACGAAGGGACACGTATTTTTTTTTAGTTGCCCATATTGGGTTTTAGGGGGTGGAAGTGCTCTCTGAAGTTGAACACCTCTCGGGGTAATTTTTCGATTACACATAAGGAAGTTTTAGAACAACTCTTTCGCAGTGTATCATGAAGGTCACAAGGAATGATGAAAATGCGAATTAGTACCGTCTCCGGGGGGTGAAATATGGAGGGTAAACTACCCTTGTAAAAATTGATCTGTCTCATAGAAAAAAAACTTTTGATGGAAATCCCATGGGATAAATTCCATTTGAAAAAGTAGAAAAAAATACAGAATACCTGTTTCGATTTTTTTTAAATCGAAATTTAAAACTTAAAAAAATAGATTTTTCGTGAATTACGAAATTTCAAACTTTTTCCTGTACAAAACGAAGCTTACGGCTAACGATGAGGAAAACCATTGGGACAGGGTCCAGGAGTGGTGTCGGGGAGGTTAACTACCCTTGGGAGGGGGGGGATTTTTTTTTAAAAAGGGAGAAAAAATATCGATGAGAATTTTACGAAACACATTTCGTTCGAAAGCATGAGATAATTTAAAGCATATATTTAGGATTTTTTGTGCAAATTAGAATTTTAAGGTAAGAAACATGGATTCTTTGAAAAATTATCGGTTTTAAATTGTTTGTTATAATAGACTTATCTTACACGGAATGATAAGTGAAACAATTGAAATAGTCTTCGAGAGTGAAACTTGACGGCTTAACAATCCTCATGGTATTTTATCGAATCGATCGGACCAACGTCATTCATTTTCAAAAGAAATCGTTAATGACCATTTATCTAAAAAATTTCACCGAAGGCCAGAGTAGAGATTCCATTAAATGGTTTCCATTTCCAATTTGAAAAAATGAGTTATGAAGAAATATTTTGAGAAATTCAAATTTTCATCTGTATATGAAGGTGGATGGTACAAAGAAGAGCCGATGATTTTGTATAGTAAATAATGGATCGATGATAAAATGTATTTCGGTTGCTCTTATCGCTTCGATGTGATATCGTTTTCAATGAGACGTAAATGGCGACATATGACAATACCATTCTGTTTGATAATGCAGAACTACAACTGAAGAATATTCGGGAGTTGTAAACATATTGATGCAAATGGCTCATTTGTTATCTGAGGATGAAATTACTCTGATCAATATAACTTATACGATATCAATGTTTTTCATTTCCATCCCTCTTGTGAATTACAATCAGTCTATGAACATACATCGAAGAGAAATTAGGTTTTCGGTGAGTGTCGTGATCTATACTTATTCTACCATGAAAGTTAATCCGATCAACGTTATCCGACTTCTGATGGCAACATTTGAAGTTCTCAATCTTGCTGAAACACCGGTGAACAATGAGGAACGTAAATTAGCAGACACGTTCGAAAGGATATTGATTCAATCAATGGAGGAATATAATGGAGTTGAAATGATCGAAGAAACATCCCTAGATTTTCAAGAGCCTTATAAAGATAACGAAATGATAGCGGTCGAGGATAAAGAATTTCAACCACATACAGAAGAATCACCTGACAGTTGTTCGGAGGATGAGTAACCTGTAGATTTCGAATATAAAAAGAATGCCGTTGACTTCTGGAGAAGTAGAAAAAAGAAGAATCTCTCTATAGAAACTCTTTCCCATCGTTTCAGAAAGGTGAAATCGCGTAGACAGTTACGACGCTGGGTGAATGAAATCAATAAAGGAGGGACATACATGGAGAAGTTAAAACGCATTTCGGAGTACACATTAAAGAATATGAAGAATGCTATCGATACAGGTTTGATCGTCCATGATACTGACCTGCGAAGGTGGGCCCTGCAAGCCCGGAAGGAAATCGGCTTCGAAGATGTTCGTTTTATAGCTTCGTCCAGGTGGATGCATTATTTCAAACGAGCACACCGCATAACATCCCGGAAGATTAACAAATTCATCACCAGAAAAGCATTAGAGACTCGAGAAGAGTTACAAAAAGAAGCGAACGAATTCCTCCTCAAAGTTCGGTCTTATTAGGATACGTATGGCCTAGAAAACATTTATAATACTGATCAAAGTGGTTTCCAATTCGAAATTCATTCAGGGCGAACGTTAGGTAAAGAAGGTACTAAACAAGTAGCGTGCGTCGTACAATCGATAACTTCAANAGATTTTCAAGAGCCTTATAAAGATAACGAAATGATAGCGGTCGAGGATAAAGAATTTCAACCACATACAGAAGAATCACCCGACAGTTGTTCGGAGGATGAGTAACCTGTAGATTTCGAATATAAAAAGAATGCCGTTGACTTCTGGAGAAGTAGAAAAAAGAAGAATCTCTCTATAGAAACTCTTTCCCATCGTTTCAGAAAGGTGAAATCGCGTAGACAGTTACGACGCTGGGTGAATGAAATCAATAAAGGAGGGACATACATGGAGAAGTTAAAACGCATTTCGGAGTACACATTAAAGAATATGAAGAATGCTATCGATACAGGTTTGATCGTCCATGATACTGACCTGCGAAGGTGGGCCCTGCAAGCCCGGAAGGAAATCGGCTTCGAAGACGTTCGTTTTATAGCTTCGTCCAGGTGGATGCATTATTTCAAACGAGCACACCGCATAACATCCCGGAAGATTAACAAATTCATCACCAGAAAAGCATTAGAGACTCGAGAAGAGTTACAAAAAGAAGCGAACGAATTCCTCCTCAAAGTTCGGTCTTATTAGGATACGTATGGCCTAGAAAACATTTATAATACTGATCAAAGTGGTTTCCAATTCGAAATTCATTCAGGGCGAACGTTAGGTAAAGAAGGTACTAAACAAGTAGCGTGCGTCGTACAATCGATAACTTCAACGACACATAGTTATATAGTACAACCTCTGATTTTTGCTGATGGAAAATTACTTTCACCTCTCTTCCTGGTTTTGAATAAACCTTCTGGAACTTTCGGTCTAATAGTGGAGCAAAATCTCTTCAAACCAGTGAATGTGTTCATCACCGCTTCAAAATCGGGAAAACTCCCTTCACGTATGACAATATTTAAGACCTAACAAACATGATATATTCTATACAATAATTAGGATTTTCATCTAGTACTTGATTTTTCAGAGCATTTCAAAACCTAGTTGAAGGAAGTCTTTTTCCCAAACGTCGGTCCTAGATGTCCACTGTTAATCGATTCCTGGAGCGGACACTCCAGGAATCGAATCACACACT